ACTAGAAGCTAGCCCCTCTGCCACCCAGCCCTCCAGCTTAAACAGTGCATTTTTAGTAATATTTGTCAATGTGTGAGGCCTTAAACACACCCTCGACGAGATTCTTCTTCGCAGTTGTGAGCATCAGGCAGATCCACTGACTTTCACCGGGACCTGGTTGTTTCAGACATTCAAGATGCAGTGATTAGCATATTAGGATATCAACTCTCACGAGCCAATCAATCCAGCGGGCGGACTTGGGCCGGAGTAATTCTTTACTCGAATCCATCACTCAATGTATACGTTATCGATGCTGTCTGCGACGACGACGGAGTCTCAGATACTGTGGGGCCGGATTCATGATGGCTTTTAATTACCTATACAGCCTAACTGGGCTCAAGCATCCGCTTCTTGTAGTCGATAAAAATTAATGGTAGAAGCAAAAGGGGTTTGCTCATTGGTGACGTTAGTGTACTTAATGTCGATCGGAACCTTCATTGTGATCTTTGCCATGACTTCTTCGAAGCCGGCCTTCCCGACAATATTCATGAATGCAACACCGATACGAATGATGCTAGGTCAACACCACGTATTCTTGATCTCGTCCCAACTCGGGCGCTCTCTGATGTCTACTGCCTGAAGATTCTTCAACCACTTGGTCTAAGTGACCACGTCGTAACTTTTGGGATATTGTCCCGTCCAGATTACAAAAACTGGCAAGCACTACAAACTAGTACGACCCACAATACCTGGACCCTGACAAGACATGGAACTTATTACGCTTGGAGATGATGTCGATCATCGAAAATGTTCTTCTCAGCCCCTAAGATAGGAGTTTTTTAAAAGGCCCTCCTTTGTTCGATCGAAAGATGTGATCCTTGTTGAATGGACGGCATAAACTGTGGGACGTATTCAAGTAAACACAAGTAACATCAGACTAACTGAAGTACAAGGTGGTCAGAAACCTGTGCACTCTAAAAGGCGTCAGAAACGGACACAATGTGAACACAACCTAGACACGCAATCACGAACGTGCTCGAAGAACCTCTTCTCGTACCTGAAGCGAACACCAAAGCGGGTAGTGGTATTCCTGCTCTGTCCTCCCATGAGGAGGATAATCCTGTACGAAGATGACGAGAAGGCTGACCTACCGCCTACTATGTACTCCTAAATTTACTCCATGGAACCGTCGTTACCCACTGACGATCTGCCATCGTCTTGTCCTTCTTGAGCAAGCTGAAATCAATCCCGACGTAGTCAAGTGGCTCCTCGAACTGAACCTAAAACTCCGCGCCGGGTCCTGGCGAACTTCACCCGTTATTCCTCAAGATGGTATCTAAATACATTACCGATCCAAACTACGAAGTATTCCGCGCTCGCTTGCGGATGGGGGGAAATAAGCTAAAGACGGGAGGGCTTGAGCAGTAGCATCCAAACCCATATCCACCTTGTTCGATGCAGCAAATGGGACGCCGTTCGTTATCCTCTGCGGCGGCCGGAGCATCAATCAAAGCTGTTGGTACAAGAACCTAACTGCATGGCAATGGGTTTGACCGTAGACTACAAGGAGTCTATTTTAAGGTATAAGGAGGCGCCCTCACTCTAATCACTAACATGGAGGACCAGGAGATTTTCTTCTTCTGGCTTTTAACCCTTGACCAATCTGGTATGAGTGGCTCTGAAGGTGCAACAAAGCACAACCCAGCGTTGCTCAATGTATCGATGAGGCACACAAGCCGTCGCACCACGTTGAGGTCCAGCCTTAATGCGATGGCCAGCGTTATGCACTGATAGCCTTATATCCCGCCGTCTCCATAGATGCTTGAGTCTTTGGAGAGCCACACGGACTTTACGAAGTAACTTCCACAGTGCTGTGACCACCAGAGGTAACACAGCTACCATGGTGAGTAGTCCTATCCACCATTTCCAGTGGCTGTTTGGTAAATAGCAAAACCGCAGTAACACTTTACATGGTGAAACGGGCAGCGCTATGCGTCAGTTTATCTAGTAGTGTTTGCATTGCCACTGCGTCACATTCAAGAAGAGCCCCATGGTTGTCTGTCGGTGACCTGGCAGAGCTTCCACTCCGGTAGAGTCTGAAATAACCGAGTCATTCTGCTTCCTTTACTAACAAAGTTGAAGAAGGAAGGAGATAAAGGACAACTGGAGAACCCCACTTGTCGTGGGAAACTCAGGAGACAGTTTCCCATAGACCATTACACGGTCTCACAGTAGAGGGGTTGCATGATGGAAAGGAATTTAGCCGGCACACCCTTCATGGTTTGGCGATGCCACAAGCTGGCGCCGTCAACAGAGGCAAAGGCAGATTTCAGTCAATGAAAACCACAATACTCGGTCGTCTATATATGTGTCTTTGCTTTCAAACTTAGCGAAAAATAAGTATGTTGTCGATACAATCACGAACAGGCCGGAAATCAGTCTGGCTTTCAGTGATTTGGTTCTCACGGGGACCAGTAAATCGTCGGAGAATGATACCCGTAAGAAGTTTAGATGCAACGGAAACAACGATAATGCCTCAATGATTTTCGCACCAAGTACGCTGACACTTCTTGATGATGGGCACGATATTTGGCAGTCACCAGTCTAAATGCACCACTTCAGTGTTCCAAATCGTGTTAAATAGAGAAGCGAGTTCAGTCGACAAAGATTCACCGTCATCTTTCATCAAAAATGGAGGAAGGTCGTCACGTCCAGTAGCCTTGTTTCGTTTCAACACAGAAAGCTCATGTCAGATCTTTTCCTATGTGGGATGTGTGACATCTACTTCCTACGTAGGCTCGGGTGATTCGGCTAGCAGCAATGTCGCGGCAAGCCTGATGAACTGCTCTTCAAAAATGTTCCGCCCAATGGGCTAGTCGACGACGCTCAGAATGGATCAACAGCCCAACTTTCTCAGCTATCATCTCGCTTACTGATGACTTTCTCAGATCCGTATTGCGGCTGAGCTGGAATAGCGCTCGCTGTTCCCAATAACACTGGCTTCCTCCATCTTACGAGCCCTTGCCCTCCACTAACGTCCCCGGTCAATTCAAAGACACCCTGGCAGACTTTGCTCCAGGGTGTTACAAGTACACTGGAACTTAGAGCAAATCGGAACCTGTTTCCGTGCTTAGAACTAGCTGATCGGTGCCTCTGAGATCCATTCAGTTAAGACGTCTCAAGTTGGGTGTACTGCATGCTTCAAAGGCATCTTCCATGACACATTTGAGACGATCCCAGTCGGCGTTCGCCTCACTAACCTCATTCACCCCAGACAATCAGTGGACCGGTACGTCATGATATTACTGAACGGTAGCTTATGACTTCTTTGCAGGTAAGGTTAGCAGATAGGCGCTTCTTTGAAGCGGGAAGAGTGAGCGCCAACTGTGCGCGCACTAGAGCATGCTCAAAATTCATGCACTTGCTCCAAATTGATCAACAGCCTTGGACTGATGTGCACCATCTGTAGCAGATAAAAGTATAGTCAATTTGGGTCTAGGTTATTGAGGAATTCGGTGATCACCAGGTGAAGCGGTGTGAACCTTTGTGCTGAAAAGCAGTGGTGCTAATATGAAGGTTGTGCTTGGCACACAGTTGCAGGAATCGATCACCATTGTCTGTTCGGTGTGCATCGACTCTGAAGCGGCCGCCCGGATGCTGTTCATGGTCTGAAAGACGACCCACTTGGGCATTCATGTAACTATCAACAATCAACATGTCAGTATTCTTCGCTTTGCGAAGAACGGGTGAGAGCTGTTGATGGAATTCGTCTTTGATACCCTTTGGACTGCATTCAGTAGGGGTATAAACTAAGACGATGAAAAGGCACCTTATCCTTGCTTATTAGCTCCAGTAGTGGTTCGAAGTCGAACCGCACACTTGCTTCTGTTCACCGGTATCTGGTCGAGCTGATTGTCTTCAGTATTTTTGCTGGGAGCAATGTCGACACCGTGCGTGCCTTGAGCCATTAACTCAGTATCGCCAGAGAAGCCAAGAGTGTAGTCACCGTCGTCAGATTCAGCAACATGGAGTCGAAGATTTGTCACGACGTTGTTATCTTGTATGCGTTTTTTGGAAACACAGCACCTATAAATATCAAGAGAGTGAGAGTCAGTGCTGTCTGATGACCGATCTCACCTAGTGCGGATGTTAAAAGAACCAATGTGAACTTCAACTCTAGGCTTGATAGCAGAGCTGCATGTATCGATGGCAGCAACGGTGAGGTCACTGATGCTCTCTTGATCAGTAGATGAGGAAGAGGAGGGAGAAAAACAAGCAGAAGAGGAAGTATTGTCGACGTGGTCGATTGGCTGGATGATAATCTCCGGCTGCCCATTTCGAGGTGCCCTGCCACTAGCCTCTGACTCATTATTCGAACTCATAAGGCAGTGGGGGATATGGAGATTTCGCTTGAGGAACTCCACCCGGAGCATTTTGTCCAATAGCCTGTCCGCATGACAGCGGGTAGGTGGTAGTGATTTAGTTTTACCAGAATTGGATGCCATACCATTTCATACCACCACCCTGGAGGTCCAGAAGACTGAGTTTGTCTGTCCTCTAACCATTGACTAACCTGGAAGGTGTATTCTAAGGTGCCCAGGAGGCACCACCCAGTTTAACTCAATGGGTCGACGAGGTACGCAAACCATCGCACCACTTTAAGGTTCAGTCATTGCAACGGGTTATATATATATATATATATATATATATATATATATATATATATATATATATATATATATATATATGATTTATACGCAGTTCAAATTGGTGGTGGAAAGTTTGCCAAGCTTGTTCTCAGCCATTCATATTCCCCGATTAAATTTGGCGAGCTATTCAGGAAGCTTACTACGATTACCACACATATAGCACTTTTCCAATATACTCTTTTGCCTTTTGGTCTTAATTCTGCCCCTGGCATCTTCCAGAGGATTCTCGACCATTTGGTGAAGGATATGCCTCTCGGTTTTGCAAATCTGAACCATATTCTTATTTCGAGACACTGTGATGCAGAACAACTTCAGACACTCGCTGTTGTGCTAGAGAGCCTAGAACAAAGCGGATTTGGATTTATGAAATCCAAATGTGGGTTCCTTTCCTGTTCCGTTTGCTACTTTGGTTACCGGACGGGCAAATGTGGGTTGCATGTTTTCAATGACAAGGTGAAACTTATTATAGAAAGTCCGGAGTCCAGGAACAGTGGTGGACTTCGTTCGTTCTTGGGAATGTTATCTCACTATCGCCGTTTTTGCCAAATGCATCTACAGTATGATCTCCATTAAATGAATTACTCACAAAAATGTTCCATAGTGCTAGAATTCTCGTCACAGTGATATCTTCACCAAAGCTAAACAAGCCCTTGCTTCTCCACCGACATAAGTTCATTTTGATCCCGATAAACAACTCATTTCTCAGTGTGACGCATCTTCTTGGGAGGTCGGAGCTGTTCTGTGCCACCGTGAAAACGATGGATCCATACATCCCATAGCATTCGCGTCGCGTACACTAAAAACAGTGGAGAAGAATCATTCACAATTGGACAGAGAAGCGCTGGCTAACATCTAATCTTAACACGGCCTCCATAGGACAGGCAGAGGATGCCTGCACCTACAGAGGAACCATGGGTGGCTTACGGTGCACCAATCACCCACCTAGTGTAAACCAGAAGGAGTAAGAGTGAGAAGCATGTGGATGGGAGCCACGTTTCCTCAACGGACTCGGCCCACACCCCTTTAACATGCCGTGCAGCAGCATTCCTGTCTATCTAAATTGGAAATCATCTGTATCAGATGTATACAAGGCTATGACTGGGCTTTAACCTGCTCCACACTGGATATATATATATATATATAATGAATTTGGGCCGAGTATTTTCTAACGTTAACGAAGTCTGCAAATCTTTCCATTTTCCCATCCCCTCGGCAACAACAGCTGAATATTGCTTTAGTAATGCTTTAAGTTCGTTAAACTCAGCAACTCTTTTTACTACCTCCAGTATATCCGGAAATGCGCGTACCCAGTTCTTTCCTGTTGTCATATTATGCCTTTACGGAGCATTTACCAAGGACACATATCGGTTCACTAGTGTACGTGCGGAGAACAGGATTGCAAACTGATAAGCGCGGTAGCTTTTTCACAGCATTTTCCTTACGGATCGTCACTAATGCTTCTGTGTCGATTTTCATCTGCACCTTTTGTTCCTCAATATGAAGCTCTAGCGTGTGCGGTGCGGGCCGCATGTTGGAAACTGTATTCGACCATATGAAATTCAATTCGGATTCGCTTCCCTCTGACTCGTCCACTATTTTAATGGGTTACGTTCTCCGATAAGTCACCCAAACGACGTTTGACCGATCTGCATACTCACACCAAATGACCAATTTTCCCGCAACTTCTGCATGCTGTCTTTTGATGTCGACAGTCCGAAGGACAACTATGGCGCTCTCCACAGCGATAGCATACGAACGGACTGACGTTATTAGGTATCTTCTTAGATTTTGGAGTGTTATGAACCAATCGCAAATTTTCCGATGAATCTTTTAGTGTAAACATTGTTTGTTGAGTAGGGTTTTCCCTCTTCCTGGCAAGCAGACAGGCTGACACCTACGTCAACGAAAAATCAACTTGTGAAGGATTTTCTCCCTGGTATTCTGGTCCGAAATCCCATAGGTCAGGTATTGGAGCAACATGGTATCTTCAAACCTAGCTGGATCAATTTCATTGTACTTACAGTTTGGTACCGCCTGACGTATACGCGCGATGAATTCGTTTACACTTTCGTCTGGTTTCTGGGATAGTTTGGAATAGTATCTGGCTGTAAACACACTGGCGAACTCCCCAAAGAGCGCTGAATGTATTCAGGGCACTTGTTATAGTAGAGCAGACTTCGTCAATACGAAGGGCGTCAAAATATCCCTGACCTTCACCCTCAAGAACACTGCCGGATTCAAGATGGGAAGCAACTCTAGGTAATCAAGAAAAGTTGTTCGCCGTCGATTCCAATTGTCCAAAGACGGTTTGTCAGTAGAACAGTACCAGGAGTGTTCGGCGCAGACATGTTATCTTATCCCGTCGCCAAATGTCAAGACTAGACGTCAGCCGTAGTAAGTTGGCAGCAGAAGGAAAACGTTGTACACTGGTCAAGTGTTGACTAATAATACTAAAGAAGGAAAACTTGTAAGGAATGTAGTACACTCAACAGATAACGCGGAACGGATTACAGCATAGGAAGCGCAGTTGGGCGTGCCTATACGCGCATGCAAAATCGGTACATTTTGAACCAGCTTCAGTCATTGCTCATTATTCAACACGTGACAGGCCGTAGTGACGAGAAAATCCGGAAACGGATGTCGCCAATCATTTGGCCGCAGTGTTTCTGTACAGCTACCGACATATCAGCACCTGCGCCCCGAGTATGGAACTCGCTACTGCACACTCTTGAGCATCTGGACAGTATCCTTTGGCATATACAATCGGTTGCGACAGCAACCGATTGCTGACAATAATAAATGAAATAATGTGTCAGCTGTACGCTGTAACGGCGCTTCGCTGTCGCGCGACCACCACCAGTCGCGCGCGGGCTGAGTATACCGCGAGGACGCCCACCCGTACGCGGATTCGAACCGGTGATCCTATGGTTCAAAGTAAAAGTGCAGACCACTCGGCCACCGGCCGACCGATTGCTGACAGGGTTAAATGTTGTCACTTTGCAACTTTTCAATCACCAGTGCCGATACTTGTATACGTACTTGCCATAGCTTTGGACTAGAATATCCTCATCTTGCTTCTTTGCTTTAGCCCATAATGTCAGTTGGAATTCCGATCAAAGTTCTGCATGATGCCGAAGGCCATGTCACAACAGTGGAGACAAGAGATGGCGAAACGTTCCGCGGAAAACTGATCGAAGCGGAGGATAACATGAACATACACATGTCGGATGTCATTATGACAGCACGAGACGGAAGAACCAGCAATTTGCAGCAGATTTATATCCGTGGAAGCAAAATAAGGTGCCGTTCCAATTGTACCCACTATGACTCCAACCATCTAGGTTTTTAATCCTTCCTGACATGCTGAAAAATTCGCCTATGCTGAAGAGGCCACTAAGTGCCAAAGGTTTGGGTACAGGTCGGGGTAAAAACGCAATGATCAGAGCTGGAGGTGAGTGTTATTCGTTTGATTTACAATTTCACCGTAGTTCGCGGGCGTGCCCGTGTCATTGGACGTGGGCGTGTCGGAACCAGCACAACAGCACCAGTTGCCGCAGCTGTCCCAGCCGCCGGACGAGGGCTTGGGCGGTTCTAACTGTTTCAGACAGTTTCAAATGTACCTAAATTCTTCACATACATATGTATGGCATAAAACAACCCAATAAAAGTTCGTTGTCACTTTTGTTCTTGCGATTTTCGCTACAGAACATGGGGCACTGGAAGTGCACTTCCGTATCCTCATACTGAACCTAAGCTTTCGCAACGTCGTGAGTCATCTAGATTCCGCGGAAAAAGTATAACCCTCACCGCCGTGCGATGGTGACGCAATGCTGTGGGAAGACTTGGATCACCCCGTGCTCCATTTGACTGAACTACAATCACCTATTTCCCTTCTGTCTGCTCCTTATGGGCCAGTCGGTGTACTTTCATTGTCCTGCTTATTGGTTGGTTTACGCTTGGTGTCTAAATTTACAGTACCGCTAGCTACAAGCCACTGTAAAGAGGTTCTAGCTATGGCGAAAGTATGGTCGCTACCACAAAGGTCGTGAGCACTCTTTGAGGCGAAAAGCCAGAAGTTCCTTCTGTCTGGTTGACTCAAACACACATAGTCAACGTTCCAACAGTCAAGCTTTCTACTTTGTCTAAGTACAAGGTGAAACTATGATTTTATAATATTTTCCACATCGTACACAGAAAATGGGGAATATTCAGGTCGTCACAATAGCTGGGATGTGTGATGAATATTAACTGACCAGTAACATTTCCGTGGATATCGCCACTCCTTAATTGGTTGCGAACCGATATGTGGTTTTTTCCATTTTACTTGGGTTCTGGTATTGAGATTGGATTAAAATCAAGAAAGTAAGGGGTCACTTAAACAAAATGATGCATTTGTTACCACATGCATATCAAATGGGATGCCTCATCATCATCATCATCATACACGTTAGCTAGAGGTGGGGAACACCCCAGCTACTGTGCCGCAATACATAGAAAAAGGAGAAAAATGCAACTAGTGCAAGCTGGCTGAGCTACTGGTAACGGATGGACATCGTTCCGGTAAGCTACCAGCCGGCTGCTGTGCACCAAAAAAATACTATGCGAAATTATATAAGGCTAAATATTAAGATCGTGGTTGGAAGGGGAGGCTAAGAGGGATGGGGTAGGACATTGAAACTAACAGCACGAACGCCATTGAGGTCGGCTCCTAGCCATATCAGCAAGTGTGTCCAACCAAACGTGTTCATCGTCTTTCGGACCCCAACCAGGGAGCCGAGACGCTCCAACCGAGGCCAGCTCAGAAGTGAGGGCCTTCATTCCTCTGGACCAAGTCATCGCTTGGCCACCCCTCCTCTTCTTCCATCCACACCCCCGGCGCGCAAACAACACACGTCGCGGGAGTCGGTGGGCTGGCATGCGTAACACGTGGCCGAGCCATCAGAGCCTGATGCGTGAAATAACGGTGCTGAGCAGTTCATTTCCTTTTCCTGTGCCATAAACAAGGCGTCGAACACGCTCGTTGCTCCCGCGGTGTTCCCACCAGATGTGAGCTAAATTGCGAAGGCACCGGTGGTCGATCGTAACTAGCCTCCTCAGGTCCGCTGTTTTAAGCAGCCAGGTTTCACAGCCGTACAGTAGGGTCGAACGTACCGCTGCATTGTACACTCTACCCTTCAAGGCAAGAGTGATGTCACGCCGGTGCCACAAATGGCGAAGGTTAGCAAAAGCTTCGCGAGCTTTTGCTATACGATTCGTGATCTCATCTTCAATCCCACGTGCGCTGATACAACTTCCCAGGTAGTTGAATTTTTGGACGACTTCTAGCTGATCCCCACTAAGTGTCAGCGTAGGAGGCGGTCCAGACCAATGTTGGAGGAACGCTTTGCACTTCGAGGGTGCGAAGCAAAGCCCGAAGTGACGGACAGCTAGTGCTAATCTGTCCAGTGCCGCTTTGCACGTTTGTGGGCTGTCACAGATCAGGGCAATATCATCAGCATACTCTAAGTCAAGAAGTCGTTCTCCTGGGAGTAGCTCCACACCTTCAAAGTCGTGTCCTGTGAACGCGATTTCCATGACTTCGTCAACAGCGAAGTTGAAGAGGAAAGGTGACAGCGGGCATCCTTGTCTCACGCCGCTGGAGATATTAGAAAGTGATGACAACTTGCCGTAAGCCCTCACTCTGCCCGAACTACGCGCATATAATGCTCGGATAATATTCACATATTTCTCAGGTACACCTTTCCTGAGTAGACAGTCCCAAAATGCATGTCTATCCACCGAATCGAATGCACCTTTGATGTCGAGAAACACGACTACGGTGGGCCGCCAATATGTGTGACGGTGCTCCAATAACTGACGCAAAGTGAAGATGTGGTCAATGCAGCCACGACCTCGACGAAATCCAGCTTGCTCTTCACGAATCTGGCTTTCACGAGTGCCAGTCAGTCTGTGAAGGATGACAGGAGAAGCAATTTGGAGGCGATGGAGATCAGACTGATTCCTCTATGGCTGCCGCATTCCGATGGTGAAACTCCTTTGAGAATTGGGACTATGATGGAACGGCTCCAATCGGTTGGGACAGTTTCCTGCTCTCACAGTTTGACTAGTAACTCGTGTAAATCATCCATAAGAGCAGGTCCCCTGAATTTGAAGAGGGCTGGAGGAAGGTCATCAGGTCCCGCGGCTTTATTTAACTTCAACAGTTCGATCTCACGTTCGACTTCTGAACGAGAGGGTGGATCCAAAGGAACAGCCCACGGAGCGCGGCGATCAATGGCCGGCGAGAAATCTGACAATTCTGGCCGATTAAATTGCCTTTAAAAATGCTCAGCCCAACGCTGTAAGCGTTTTGACAAGTTGTGGATAGGCTGTTCACTCTCGTCACGTATAGTTTCACTAACACCAGGACTCCTGCTGCCCCATTCCCCTATCAGACGGAATAACTCACGATGGTTACCAAGGGCAGCGGTCATTTCCATCTCTGATGCACGATAAGACCACCAGGATTCGCGGTCTCTCTTCAGGCTAGCACGGAGTTTTGCCCGGATCTCTTTGCGAGTTTCCTTGTGTTGGCTTCCAGCTGGAATATGCTGTCGAGCATCTATAATTTCCAGAGACTGTGAAGAGACCCAATGTCCATGTTGGCGATTAGACTTACCACATGAGGATTTTCCTGCTGCTAGTAAGGCCTGGTGAATATGAGACCAGCGAGCTTCATGTGGATCCAGTGAGCGTTTATCCAACTCGCACGACAGCGTACTTTGATAGGCATTCAGAACAGCTGGCTTCGCCAGTCTTCCGGTGTCAATGCGCTCACAACGTCGTCGTGGGCGTCCGCCAAAGCACATCCGTAGGTCAACACATACAAATGCATGATCGGTGTCAACACCTGTGCTCCAAATCAAGCGACAGTTCTGGATGCAGCCTCTCTATCGGTAACTTATCGCATTATGATTGATTTGCATCCATAGCTGGTTTGAGGCTGGTGGGCGCCAAGTCACCCTCCGGCGGGTGCTGTGTCGGAAATTAGTGCTCGCAAGAAATAAGCGAGCATCCTCACACAAATGAACTAACCGCTCACCGTTATCATTACGGGAGTCTATACCATGTTGGTCTCCCAGATGCAGCTCATCTGTGGATAATTTCCCAACTTGAGCGTTCAGATCCCCAGCCAGTACTACAGTGTCCGAGCTTCTGTGGCGAAGAAGTTCGTTCAGTTAATGATATAAGTCGTCCTTTACCGAGTCATCGCTAGAGTTTGTCGGTGCATAGGCAGCGGATAACGGATGGACACCTGTTGGTCATACTCGACTTCGAAGCTTTGCACGAGCTAGCCAATCGGACCGCACACATCCGGCTGCTGATTGGAATCCAATCAACGAGAGCAGCTTCAGCAGTACCAACACCGGCTTGGCCGGTGCTCGAAGCTGCATCGTCACCCGATAGGCGCAATGAGAAATTGCTGCTGGTGTCACTTGAAGGGGATCGCAGAGTGAGTACAGAGCTGGAGTCTTGAAGGGGGGTCTCCGATAAGCAGCAGATATCGATCGAGAGTGTCTCTAATGTTCGGGCAAGTGCTGCCTGTTGACCGATCTGAAGCAATGTGCGAACATTGAGGCATGCCAACCTGAAGGAGGATCGAGGGCTCCAAATGGAAGTCGATGAACTGGAATGGACCGATTGCTTTGAAATGGGCCTGTTGACAGTGCAGGAATGACACTCCGCGTTCACCTGTGAGTTGAAACTAAAAGACAAGCGACTATTGAAGCAAGGTGGGGGAAGGCCGAGAATTGGGGGGGTTGAAAACAGGGGGGATAAAAGTGAAGCTGAAACGGGATGATAAGTGTGAAAAAGCGCAAGAAGGGGAATAAGAAGTTGGGAAGGCTTAAGCAGTAACATCCAAACCCCTATCCACCCTGCCCGATGCAGCAGGTAGGGCACCGTTGATTATCCTCTGCGGTGGCCAGAGCATCAGAAATTTGTTTGAAGTGCGATTCGTTGTATTGCGTGGGCAGCATATTGTCAGGTTGCCCTGGGCTAGACAGAAGAACGATTAGGGTTCTCAACCAAAGCCTTTGGTTCAATAACCTCTCCGCAAGGCAGCGGGTTTGGCATTGGGCTACAAGGAGTCCGTTTTAAGGAATAAGGAGCCACCCTCATTCCAACCCCCAACCTAGAGGACCAGGAGGCTGAGTTTGTCTGGCCTCTAACCATTGACCAGTCTGGTATGAGTGGCTCTGAAGGTGCAAAAGCACCACCTAGTATAGCTCAACGGATCACTCAGGCACACAAACCATCGCACCACGGTAAGGTCCAGCCTCATTGCGATGGAATGGGATGCCTGATCGAAGGCCTACAGCATGTTGTGAAATGTACCAGCATAGGGTTTTAAGCAGAAATGTTAACATAAGAGTCCGCACGATTTAATTTCAGAAAAATCACTGCATAGTTCAAATTCATACTGCAACTCGTGTGAATTTATAGCACCATGAATCGAGCGCAACTTAAATAGCAACCTAGCAAAACTGAACACACAGAGCTGTTTCCAGGATTTACTCATGCGACACGTGTTACTTTTTCTTATAACAATTTCCTTGGGAACTAGTTTTTTTAATTCTCCCGAACGCCATCCATAGAAACTTTGTGAAGCATCTGGAAGGTCTTGTCAAGTTATGATCTAAA